TGCAGAGGTATCTGCTCGGGGCAGTGGGCTGGAGCTCGGCGGCCGTGCTGGGAGTGCTGGGGGTGGCTGTCTTCCTCCTGGTCCTGTCCCCGGTGAAGGATGCTGCCCTTCCCAAGCAGAATAAAGTAGGTACCCGGTGAGACCTGGGGGAGGCTGGGAGTGACCCTTTGCACCTCTCATCCTTCCCTCAGCCCTGCCTTCTTCTCTGCTTGCAACTCTTCCCATAACCAGCCCAGCTTTTCAGGGCTTAGCCTAATCGAGGTAGCACTGGGCAGATCAAACACCCCCCCTAAACCATGTCCCTGGCTCCTTGCTAAGGATGGGAGAGCGAAGAGAGTCAAAAAAAGGGACTGCTCCATCTGCCACCCCAGACACTTTCTCTTCTCTGTTTTAAGACATCCAGGTTTACCTGCTGGGTTTACACCCTCTCTTCTGTTGCTTTCTGCTGTCTGACTGTTAAAAAATAGTCAGGGTTTCTTTGTGAGATTTGGCACTCCCAAAGGTCTGGGAGCAGCTTTGGCAGCCTGAACCCTTTGGGACATGCCTGGATGCCTTCCTCTTCTGCAAATCACCCTGCTGACCTGCACCTCTTCCCTTTCTGAGCTGTAACTCCCTTAAATGGTTAAATCATGGGGGCCGGAGGTGCAGCAGGGCTGCTAAAGGGAGGTTGGATGTGCGAACTTGTGCTGCTCACGTTCATGCATGGGAAGTGAAAGCAGAAGCTCTCAGAAACTCCCGTGGCACTGGGGTGCAGCCCTGAGCGTGCTGTGACCCTCCGTCCCCTCTGCCTCCCCCAGTACGGTCTGGTGTTTGACGCTGGCTCCACACACACATCTCTCTACATCTACCGGTGGCCCGCGGACAAGGAGAACAGCACTGGCATCGTCTCCCAGGTGGAGACCTGCGCTGTGTCTGGTGAGTGTGCCGGAACGTGTCCATCCCTCCCTCCCAGCCTCCTGGATCACTGTCCTGGACTCTCACAGCATGTTGGTGACTTGAAGCTTTCAGCCTGCACTGGGCCAAAGGGAGATGGCCTGGTGGAAGAACCAGGGAGTTAGTGGGTACAGTTTGCAGCTTAGGGAGCCCTACAGTAACTGGGGGATCCAGAGGTGGGTAAGGAATTTGACCCCCAGTTAAGCATGGTTCCTGGAGCCAGTCCAGTCTTGCAGCTGGTGGTTACAGGTCAGCTCGCAGCTTGGGATGCTGGATGTGCAGAGTTTGCTCCTTCTCCCATGCAACTGCTTTCTTGGCTCTTCTTCCCACAACATCTCTTCCCAGCTTCTTTCATAACATGCGGCATCATGTTCCCACAGGGCCGCCTAAAAGTTCTGCTGGATTTTTGTAGGGGGTTGCTACCTGTTCTTTGGTTTGGCAGTTTTCATTTGGGTATCTGTAGGGCACCAAACTCAGCAGAGTTTTTGGCTGTGACTGGGACATCTGGGTATTGCCAAGGAGGTCCTGCGAGCTCCCTGGGCCTGGGGAATGGGCGGACATGTGCCCCACTGCCCTGTCCCTCCTGGGTGGCAGTGGGCTCCCTCCATCGCGGGGTGCCCTCTTGCAGGACCCGGCATCTCCAGCTACGCAAACAACCCGGCTGGGGCTGGAGCCAGCCCGAAGCCCTGCCTGGCCAAGG